ACCCAATCGCTCATAAAAGAGATACACTCACTTTCAATACATTTCACAAAATCTATTTTATCATCTTCACTCGTAAACACCAAATTCCCGACTTGTTGATCACTCGTCACAAACTCCAATGCACCTTTCCCAACAATTTGATCATGATTGAAAAACACAAACTTGCCAAAGTAAAGTACGTCAATGACATTTAACACTTTATTACTTTCAATGACTGTCTCTAATGTGTCTTCATCCTCTTTCTTTTTCTTTGGTTTTGTTAGTTTCAAACATTTGGTAAAAACTAAGAACTCGTTGAACACAAAGCAGTATATCCTTTTTACTTCAGCTGTTTTTTCATTAACAACTTCTATCACTTTAAAAGCTTTCAATTGATGAGAAGTCTTGTCTTCGATAATGTCAGACTCTTTATTGTACTTAAAGTGGCTTAACAAGTACATTACACGTCCTCTATTCTCTATCATTACATTTGCCGCATTCAATGTATTTCCTACTTCTTTAATTTTCCCAAGAGATTCTTTCAGCGATTGGAGTTCTGGATGATTGTCTGGCATTGTCTTGATAAGCTCTTCCAATAACAATTTGTATCTTGGAATACGCTGGATAGGGAGAATCACATATGAATTAAATGAATCTAACGAGTGCTCTTTCTTAACATTTTTCATTTCATTTTCAAACCGCTTGTTCATCTTCATTAATTGTTCTTCTCTTTTGTTAACACAATCAATACAATTAACATAAACACAATACGACTTTAAAAAATACGTCAACTTGGAGAAGACCTCCCCAATGTGGTTACCATATACAAATCCTTTTGAAACAAGTTCTTGTAACCTTTCAAGCATCATGCCGTTATATCCCAATATGACTATTAAATTGTCTTTGCATTGTCTCATCACAACGTCATCTGGTATCACTTCGAGTGCTTTAGACAAATAAAGGTCTTTAAATAACTCCAATCTTTCCACATATGTTTTCTCGGTGTCCATTATCTCTTTGACAACATTCTTCCTTTGTTTCAATTTTTTCATCTCAGGCGAATGACGTGCATAATACCTTCGTATTTCATTCTGTACTGTTATGACTATATTAATGTCAGTCACTTCTATGGGACTTAGATATATCTTATGTTGTGGTATTTTTCTTGCAACATTAAGTTCTTTAAGAACGTTTTGCATCTTAACCACTCTATCGTCACCTCTTAGTGGTGGACTATATGAAGGTGTTTCTTCATTTGAAGGTGTTGCTGCTGCACCTTCTACTGTTCTAAAATAGTCTCTGCGTGGTGTTGCTCTTTTAGATCCCAGAGTTATACGTGTTGGAATAGTTGTGTCTTTTCTTGGTGTCGTCAAGAGAGATATTTGTGCACTAACTGTACTTCGTGTAGGATTCAATGAATTGTTTCTTGATTCTATTTGTTTCTCGTCAACAACAAGTTCATCTGTTTTTTCGGACGTCCCTTCTACATCGATTTGCTTCGAATCAAAGGAAAATCCACGTTTGAATTTCTTCTTGAATATATCAAAGACTCTTTGCTTCTCTTCCATGACAATTAATTTATAAGTTGAATTGATATCTTTTTAACACACATCACCACTAACATGAATTATTGTTACTTACCTCGGCGAAACGTCTTTTTCTTTTTGTTGAAAGCAAACAACATTTATTTCCATTTTAACTTCGTTTTATTTCGCACTTACTCGTCTTTCAATTTCTTTATTTCCATGGCATTATAATTTTGTCTTTATCCCGATGACTCAAATTAAAACCAACTTAAACTGAAAATAAAATAGAGATGAATACAGAAGTATGACTCTGTTGTATTTCATTCAACAAGCCAAATTATTTTTGTTGCATAATTTATTACTATTAGTCATAAGTAGAGAATTAAAATGGTGACATAAAAAATATAAAAATGTCCGAAGTTAATGAACAGAAACAAAGTATTCAAGAGGTCAACTTTTTGACTTGAGAAAAAATATTATTTGGTTATTTACATCATCAATAAAATGTTTTTTAAAACATTATTGTTTTTATTGGTCAAAATATTAAACTTTATCTAAACAGTGTACTTAACAAAAGATTTAGAAGAATAAACTGGTTGGTAGGAGTCTTGTTGACCCATTGAAACCTATAAATGCATGTTTTGGAAGAGATACATCTCTACATATTGGGCATCTTGGCTGTTGAACGAGCCATTTGAAAATACACTCTTCACAAAAGATATGCCCACATTTCAGTTTAACTGGATTGGTCAATTTGTCTTGGCATATAAGACATATGTCCTCTTGTCCTTCTTCGAGCATAACACTCCTTTCAATTAATAATTAAATGTATAACATTAAAAATTAGGTAAAATTTATAAAAGTGTAAAAAAATCACAAACGTTCCAAACGGACTTGTTTTTGTGAAAAGAGAAAGAAACACTTGGAAGAAATATGCCACAAATTGCACGAACAAGTAACACCTTGCTAACATGTATAGCCACACAAATGGCATTACAAAATATGTATTTGTCCACTCCATATTCCACAACACGACACTCGAAAAGTAATTATACATTATAAACGTCGGCAGAACAATCCGAATTGCTAAACTGAGCGACTCGATCATCGAAAACGATTTGCAGACAAAGAGCACTTTCTTTGCAAAAAGTATGACAAGAACTTTAGCGAAGTACGTCACATATCTAAAAACGCAGTCCGCAAAAAACAAAAACACCGCCAAATCGAAAAACGACTCGGGTGTGTACCAAAAGTTGATCATATCACTAACGCCATACCTCACGATTTTGAAAAGGAACAAAACGATCGCCGGTATACATAGATACACCACTCGCATCTTTTGTTCTCCCGAGTTAACGAAAATGGTAATAGCGTCCTGGAGTTGCGTGTGTTGTATAAGATCGAGAATAAAGTATCCTGCGACAACGACATTGTTTAAAAAAAAGAAGACCAATGCGATGACAAAAGAAAACGAATCCGTGTCGTAGTCGTCGTCAACGCTTCTCTGTTCGGTGTCTTCCGGCTCCACAGCATTCCCATTGTTTTGTTGTGTTGTGGGTTGTGAGAGGTGTTCTGTTATTGTCTCTTCGTCACCTCTTATCTGCGCTTCCGTTCCGTTATCACTCACATTTTGATGTGTTGAGTTATCGTGATTTTGTAATGGTTCTGGGTTGTGATTGACCCGAGAAGGTGGAATCTCAATTTCAAGAGCGTCACTCGTTTCTGTATTTTGTTCAGTGATTGGAAGGATTAAGTTTGAGTCTCCAATCATTTTTGATGATTTATTAAAAGTTGGGATTAGGTTTTTAATTTGTTGTGATAAAATGTAAAAACAAAGATGAAATAAAGACTACAATGAAAGTTTGTTTAAATAAGATATCTTGTTATCAAAAAAATGTAAAGTCAGAAAAAACAAAAAAATTATCATTATTAAAAAAAACTAGATTGTCAATGCGAAACGATAGAATATAAATTAGTTGGACAAACGTTGTAAAAATGATTTTATTTACACATTACATTATGAGTAAAATCGACAATTTCTTAATCGACGTTTGCTCAATAAATAAGATTTAATATGAGTAATAATTATTTATATTCTAACAATTGTGAAATCAAGTTTATTTCAACAACAGTTCATCAAAAAAAAATAATTCAATTTTACAAACACTTTTTTCATCACTCATTTTTATTATTAAAAATAATATTATAATATATTATAATAAATTTTTACTAAAACAAAAAATAAAAAAATTTTCAACTGTTTAAATGTAGTTTACACACAATGTAATAATATAAAAGACAACACAACTTCTTTTCACTAAGATTTTCATATTTGAAATAAAATAAAGTTGTGGATATGTCTGTAAGATAACGATTGTTTATTAAGTTATTCATTTATAATTCATTTAGGAGTATTATCGAGAATTATAAGTTTTATTATATATTGAAAAATACTAAAATAATATTAAAATAAATCAATACATTTAAAAACGATTGTTTAATAAAAAAGAATGAAGGATGTATAACAAAATCAATAACAAAAATGAATAAGAATAAATGAATGCAGAGTTCTTTTCAAACAGTGCGAAAGTGTTATTGTCCCGGTTCTTTTGGTACATATGATAGAATATAACAAATAAAAATGCCAAAGATGGTGATGTGGTAATGAAGAGGTGTTGTGAAACAGAGACACAACCCTAAACATCTTTAATAATGAAATGGTATATAGTATAGTAAAAGAATAGTAGTAAGAACAAGTAAGAATAGAATGATGTAAGTGAGTATTTCCAACAAGGGTTGAGCAGACAGTATATAAGTGGGCCGAACTGAATAGAGTCACACACAGGAAATGCCAAAGGAAAAGGTTCACATTAATATTGTCGTCATTGGACACGTCGATTCTGGTAAAAGCACCACCACCGGTCACTTGATCTACAAGTGCGGAGGTATTGATAAGAGAGTTATGGAGAAATTCGAGAAGGAATCTGCTGAAATGGGCAAGGGCTCATTCAAGTATGCGTGGGTCTTGGATAACCTCAAGGCTGAGAGAGAAAGAGGTATCACCATTGATATTTCCTTGTGGAAATTCGAATCACCAAAGTACTACTTCACCATCATTGATGCTCCGGGCCACAGAGATTTCATCAAGAACATGATCACTGGTACCTCCCAGGCTGATGTCGCTATTTTGGTCGTTGCTGCTGGAACTGGTGAATTCGAAGCCGGTATCTCAAAGAACGGACAAACCAGAGAACACATTCTTTTGTCATACACCCTTGGTATCAAACAAATGATTGTTGCCGTCAACAAGATGGACACTGCTAAGTACAGCCAAGCCAGATTCGAAGAAATCAAGAAGGAAATCTCCACTTTCTTGAAGAAGACTGGTTTCAACCCAGACAAGATCCCATTCGTCCCAATCTCTGGTTTCCAGGGTGACAACATGATCGACCAATCAACCAACATGTCATGGTACAAGGGCCCAACTTTGTTGGGAGCACTCGACAACGTCAACGAGCCAGTCAGACCAGTTGAGAAGCCACTCAGAATCCCACTCCAAGACGTCTACAAGATCTCTGGTATCGGAACAGTCCCAGTCGGAAGAGTTGAGACTGGTGTCCTCAAACCAGGTATGTTCCTCACCTTCGCCCCAACCGGTGTCACCTCTGAATGCAAGTCAGTCGAAATGCACCACGTTGCTCTTACCCAAGCTATTCCGGGTGACAATGTCGGATTCAACGTCAAGAACTTGACTGTCAAGGATATCAAGAGAGGAAACGTCGCTTCTGACTCCAAGAACAAGCCAGCCTCAAAGACCGAGTACTTCAAGGCTCAAGTCATCATCATGAACCACCCAGGTCAAATCAGAAAGGGATACACCCCAGTCCTCGATTGCCACACTTCCCACATTGCTTGCAAATTCTTCCACTTGGAAGCCAAGATCGACAGAAGAACTGGTAAGGCTGAAGAAGGTGTCCCAGAATTTGTCAAGAACGGAGACTCCGCCATCATCGACATCCTCCCAACCAAGCCACTCTGTGTTGAGACTTTCACTGAGTACCCACCACTCGGAAGATTCGCCGTCAGAGATATGAAACAAACCGTCGCAGTCGGTGTTGTCAAGGCCGTCTTCGCCCCATCAGACGATGCCACTAAGTTCTTGCAAGAACACGGTGAAGCCACCAAGGCTGCTGCTAAGGGTGGTAAGGCCGGTGCCAAGGCTGCTCCAGCTAAGAAATAAGCATTTGATTTTTTACTTGGGTTTTCACTTTATTATTCATAATTAATAAATTAACTATAATAAGATACTAACTTAATATTAATAAAATAGTATACATCAATTACCTCCCGTAGCCATCAACTTTTCAATCACATGATAATAATTATAAGGGAAGTGGTCGCTGAGACTGAGCACCCGAATAAACAACCACCCAAAGACCTTGTTGTCTTTTCTAAACATTCTGTACGCTCTTTCACCATCTTCTTTTGTTTTCAATATGTGGTACACATGCCCAGCTGGCACCAGAACATTATCGCCAATGTTCCTTGTCGATTGATAGAATCCTTTAAAAGCGGCTTCAAATCTTTCCGTCGTTTCTTTTGACATCAAATTAATCAATTTGGTCTGTTCGTGGATTTGTTTGACCTCATCCAGAAATGGTCTAATGCCAAGCACTGAGTCATACGACAATCGAGGAACAATGTCTTCTTTTGATATAATCGTGTCTATCAGATCGCACACCAGAGGGTCAGTCGAAATGTTCAACGACAAGCACAACGCAGACGCGAATCCGTAGCACTTTAAAGGCCAATTTGGATGCTTTTTGTATACTTCCAATGTCAGTACTTGTGCTACAGCGCCACCAAGTGAGTGTCCAACGAAAGTGATATCATACTTGGGGTATTTCACTCTCAGCGCAGAAAGTGTTTTAATGATTTGTTGGTACTTATTCAGCGCGCACTTATACACTCCAGCGTGTGTGAACCCCTTAATTCCATTGAAATCGTACGGGACTGGTTTTGCGCACAAATCGACTTTTGCGTCGTCGAACGACAAAGTCCCTCTTATGACAACGACAATGGAATTCACGCTTTTAGTCACTGCGATGAAGTGGGATGGATCAAATAACTTTGCCTTGTACTGATACTCGACGATGTCCTCTTTTTCAAGACCACACATCTTCTTAGCTAATTTATAGTCAAACTCTTCTTCAGAAGATTGTAATGCCTTTGCCTTTTTGAATATACCACTCTCTTTATTTCCTTGAATGAACACCCACTTGCCATACGATACCATACAAAGTTTGATGTAATAATAATATAAATCAAATTTATGGATGTCTGTGATCTCCTCAATAACACCATCCCTGCTCACATCGACTTTAGAGGTGTTTATCTTGTGAATTGTAAGTACAAAGTCTTTTACAGAAACTCCACTCTCTTTCAAGTACGTCTGAATGATCTCGGAATACCCGTTGCCAGGAGTTGATATGAAGGCATCGATGTACTGAGTCACTATATCGATGTCGTTGTGTTTCTCCGTCTCGAGTTGTACGGTTATGGGCTTGACCTCCATGATATCCGAATAACTCAACACGTTGTAATTGTAGGTGTTCCCACAAACATACGACATCTTCTATTTTTATAGTACTTTTGATTTTTATAAAGAAATATGTTGTTAATAAATACAATATTTATAATATTCATACTATAACAGTATAGTTAATGTCTTGAATTTAAAAAATTTGGTTGTTGGCGTTTTAAATTTTGAATTATTTTTATTTGAACAAAATTGTCTAAAATATATTCAAAAATTTTTATGTGTTTTGTTTAAAAACATTTTCCAACACTGTACTCTTGTAATTTATTTATAATTTTAATATCAATATCGATTCTTAAGGAGTTAAAGGAGGTTTTTATTGTTACAATTAATTGTATAGTAAAACTGAACTTATTAAGCTCTTAATGGGTCACAATATGAAAATGAAATAATTTCATAAACAAAAGTAAAATTTGAATAAGAATTAATTATTTAAAATTACCCACAACCTTTGAAGTTTCTCAGTTTTTATGTAGTGTCTTATTTTTGAAACTATATAATATAATAACTTTTATCAATGTATATACTATTATTGTTTTTTTCTTTTGAAAAAAAAACATGTATTCTATTGTTTTACTATATTCAACTATACTATATAATAGTTATTGTTTAATTTAAATTAACAATTAATAAACCAGATTAAATTATCCTAATCGCCCGTTTTTTAAGTTATTTAATTTGAAATATTTCCAATATTTCAGCATATTTTAGTATTTATTTAAACCATTTTTTGTTAACTTTATGCACAGAATGCCTCGTCAAAGACAGAACATACACAACACAAACACAAGTACAACAACTGCACCAACCCCAACCAGTGTTTTGAGATTTGTTGCGCCCCGAATACAGACAACACAATTAACAAGAATAGTCACCCAAAAAGAAAGACAAATGACCTTAAACTCTCTAAATACCACAGTGGCAACAAGAAGAGGAGCAACACATGTCGATATGGATATACGCCAGCAACAAATGACTTTTAATGAATCCAGAGGAAAATCAGAAACACATAACACATAACACACCACAGCAACTCTCAAATACTCAGAGAAGAGATACAACTGATTACTTGCGTCATGTGAGATCCGAAGGTATGTTTGTTGAACAACCGCTCGTTGATGAAACAAGACAAAATTTTATTCAAAGAATATTATCCACACACAATTTACTTAATCATCAAACTCCAAACCCACTCGACTTACACCTTGTTATGCCAGAAGCCACTGACCTTGTTGAAATAAATCTAAACAACATTAAGAGATTAACGGGGTTTCAGATAAAAGACTTTGTTGAGATACATGAAAATTTTAGTAGTTTGATGTGTAGATTCTCTTTTGAGAATAATGGACATAATGTTCGTGTTGCAACATGGTCTGATAAAAAGTATTCATCAGAAATTTTGAGACATTCAAAATCAAACAATTTAAAAACAAATGAAAAATTGTTGATTTTGATGACTCTATTACACACCAACAAATCTTATTTTGATATTTATTTGTGTTTGGGAATGAATAATAAATTCAAAGATCGAGATTGGAGCATCAATTCAGAACAATCAATATTGGTGACCACCAGAGCTGAGTTAAGAGTGGAAAGGGCAATAAAAGATGCATTGAATTTATTCACAGATAACGCCAGAGAACGTTTAATGGTAAAGTTGGAAAATACAACAGAAATAACAAAAACATTTGCAGAGACCTGTGAGGCTTCTTTTAGTGAATGGATTCCCAATTTAAAAAAGTGTAGGTTTGCAGTAGATGGTAGAGATCAAAGGGTTAACAACTCTCAAAAAT